CGTGATCCGGGGCTTTTCCCTCGGCGCGATTTCTGGATCGCTCGCAGGCAATATGTGGTGCACCCGCACCTCGGAGCCAAGTTAAAGCAGTAGATTTTGTAGCATCCCCAAGAGTAGGATCTAACAGCAGGCCCATGGGATAGAGATAGAGCCTCCACACAGCAGTTCAGGTTTGGTGGCAGTGTTCGTCAGAGAGTGTTTCGATGGCAGCAGCGGGAAGACTTGGAGCAACTGGCTCCCGTGGGCACTCCTTGCCGGAGCCCTCTTTTTCGCGATAACCAATGTTCCTTACATGGCGCGGGGTATGCGCCAATATGAAGCCCTGTTCATGGTCACAGTCTTCCAAGGCTCGAACATTCTGTCAAACAGTCTGTCCGCCGTGATCGTGCTAGAGGAAATGGATGGGGAGCCCTGGTGGAAGCTTGCCGGGTACTTCTTATGCATCGGGGGCATGATCGTGGGGCTGTTAGTGCTAACCAGCGGGGAGGAAGACCTCATCAAAGCTTCCCACAGCAACAGCCAATTGGAGCCTTTGTCTTCGCCCCCAGTTGAAGATGTCATCGAGGACACCGACAGCCTTGTCGACAGCAGCGAGTCCGAGCCTCCAGCCTTCATGGATTTCGTTCACGCAGTTGCGAAGGACCCCTTTGAGCACGCCCTGTGCCGGCAGATTTCCGAGGACGCGTCGATGTATGGGACTCCCGGAGGCTTTGATCGTCCCCGTGCCATCGCACTGGGACATGACATGCCTGAAACAGCTTCGCAGAAGAGTCAATCCACCTCTTCGCCCCATTCCCCGAGCGAGGAGCAGGACCGCATCTACTGGATGGTTTGAACACCGGCCGATGCAAAAAGCTTGCTTCGCCGTATGCCTTGCCTCTCTTGGTCGCCACAGTCAGAGTGACTCTGGTTAGAGCGGAGCTGAGGTGAGGTCAGCTTGGACTACGTGGACTACTGGTTTCTGAACGGCATGGACTCGGGGCCGCTGACCTATCAGCTCGGAGCCGAGCTGATCGGCGGAGGAGTCGTCTGATGATAGTGGGCATGAGTCATGAGTCAAGATGATGTTGTTGTTGCTCTTGATGCTGCTGCTGCTGCTGCTGCTGCTGCTGCTGGGTAATGATGATGATGATGATGATGTTTGGGATCATGTGGCGGCGATGCTGATGATGCTTTGGGGCGATGATGATGGTGATGGTGGTGATGATGATGGTGATAGTGATGATGACGATAGCAACGATGGTTACAACGATGCAGAAGACAAGGGAACTATGTTGTAGACTCGTAGACGTTGGCGATGAATGATGTTGACGATGGCCAGTGATGATGACCGGACATCGTCGGTTTCGCACGTGACGGTGATCCTGGTGGTCTTGGTGAAGATGAGGAGGGTGATGACGATACCGGCTACAGTCCCTGTATCGTGATGATGATGATGATGACGATTTCGACCAGGACGATGCGATGACAATGATGTTATTGTCATTGGTAATCCAGTGATGAACATAGTGCTGGTGGTGTTGATGATGATGGTGATGGTGATGCTGATTCTGCCGGTTCTGGAGAATAAGCACGTAGTGATTGCCATGACGAAGAACGATATGGCAGTGGTGATGATCTGGATATGGATGGTGACGAGGGCGCTGAAGCCGATGGTTTCTATGCTGAAGACCCATGGCCTTCGTGACCATTATCGTCATCATCATCGTGCGTCCTTTTTGAAAGAAAGCTTTGTGCAAGATCCGGGAGGTTTCTAGGCTCAGGGACTTGCGGCAGCTTGCGGAGATTTGGAGCACGGCTTCTGCAGGTGATAAATGCTGATACTTGCCTTGAGTTCACCTCGGTCATCTGCATCAGGGGGATCGGCTGCCTGCACTTGACGAGATGACAGCTCGCAGACTTTGAACGTTAATCAAGATCGTGACAGAGCCACAATGTAAGTGCGAACGAGAGTTGAGGTGGCGTTGCAAGATGTGCGCTGACTTCATAGGTGTGGGACTTAGCAAGGAAGCCATGCGTGGAAGTCAGTCTAAAGAAGAGTTGAGCTCGAGAATGTCTCAGGCTACCAGGCAGACGTTGTCGTCATGGACTGGCCTGTGCCGCATTCAGGGAGGGAGATCAGGCGTCGGGGATCCTGTCTGCAAGAGTGTAGGAACCTGATGTTAGCTACGACCATGTGACCTGCATCACCTGCTTCCCCCATGTGGTCACAACAAGGATACGAGTGAATGTGTGCATGGGTTTGCATTCAGTACTGTAGAGCGAGCTGCAATAAGCAGTCATAATTAATAATGCAGGATGAGACAAAGCAGCACGCATAGGTAAATGTTGACAAAAGCAACTCTGCATGGATCTGTGCCCCCGGGAGAGGATTGCTGGCCTGGCGGTACACCCGAGCGCAAGTCGGAGCTCTTTGGGTAGAGTTACGACATCCACTCGTTTCGGGGGTTTCATGCTTCGAGTGGCCTTCTTGGATTTTCCTCAAGCGCCAAGCCGAGGATCACAGAGGCCCGAAAGCACGAATGGGACGGCTGGGTGAGATCCCCGGCATTCGTTCACCACGATGCAGAGACTCAGCGGGATGTCGAACGGGTTCTGGGTGCAGGGAGGAGCAAGATGACACAGTGCGGACCTCTACCTGGAAATGAGTTGGCAAGTAGCTGCAATGGTTGCAGCAACCACCAGATCCTTTCCAGCTTGTCCTTCCAGGGTTCCCTGTTCCCGTCCTCTTACTTCGCCTTTCGCCGTTCCATCGCAGAGGTGCTCATCATTGCACGTACGGACCGTGGGCACGACGTCGTCGAGTCGGCGAAGGCGAAAAGAGAATGAATGCGTAGCAAGTTGTGCGATCTTCACGCGCCGAACGATTTCAAGCCATCAACCAAAGATATCGATTCCGCACATGTCAGCTCAAGTTCACTTCTCAACGCCCTGAAAGAAGTTATGTCATCTGCCAAGTCTACATGGCTCCTGAAAGGAGAATGAAACAAAGCACCTATGTGCATGGCAGGCAGCTGGTCTTCTCTCCTTGGCCCCGGCGGAGTCTATGGAGGTTCTGACAACGCAGTGAGCTTGTCGGCATTACAAAAGCACCTCTCCCCGGGAGATCCCCTGTTGTTTCGAAAACAATCCGTGACGGAGACGTGATGGGAAGCCAAGGCCGCACCAAGCGCGCAGAGCAGGCAGGGAGACTCTGAGACATGGTGATTCGATATCCTGCAGAGAGGAATTCTCTGCCCTACCTTTTGTCGCCCAGAGCAGAACGACGACTTTCTGTGCGAAAGAACGCTGACCCAGGCTCTAACTTCATCCGCCGCACAGCACACGCCCAGCTCAGCCAACCGCTGACCGCATTGGATCCCGCCGCGGCAGCCCGGGTGGCGCGTTGGGCGACTTCGAGACTAATTTCGGGAGTTGGCAACGCTATGGTTGACGTTGAGCTGCTCAATTCCTCGATTTCGTGTAGGGCAGCGTAAAGCGTAGATCACTTAAGTTTCGATCATGTTCGTTCAAGCCGAGGGATGGACGCGCTCCGAGGCTTTAGACAAGTCCTTCATGGATGAAGTGCTGAGAACTGGCAAGCCAGCTGCCGGCTCAGATTGCGAACACTCCTGTTGCATTTCAGAGAATTGAGGAGCCGTGTGGTGTAGTATGGTGTATGTACTTATATTGTTGTTTTCTATGTGACTATATGTAGTTATATAGCATGTATCTCAAGAGATATACCATAATTAATACCTAATGTGTTCGTAACAGATAAGTTATGACATGCAGTTGATGCCTCATATATCTATGTGAATTAGACTCTATACATCTCTATACTGCAGAGGCCCTTTTGGTCTGAGAGTTCTTTTTCCGAGGCTCCGGAGGCCCCGGAGGCGGCGGCGGAGCTCCGAGCGTTGCTGGGCAGCGAGCCCTGGGCCGAGGCCGGGGGTCGAAGGATGAAGGCAGCTGCAGGACCAATTTAAAAGTAGGGTCAGAAGTCTTTCTGTGGGGTTCTTACTTTTTCTGCTTGGCGTCCGTCGCCCGCCTTCCTTCCGTCGCCCGCCTTCACAGCATTTGGTGGGCCCCCCCAGCCCCGAGCGCGCTTCGGGATTCTTCGCCCGCGCCGTGTCCTCCGCGTCGGCAGTGTCGTCCGGACCGTGTCATCCGCGTCGTTCTGTGCCTCGTCCGTCCGGCTCTTCTCGCCTGACTCACGCCTCACCCACTGGCTCATTCCGCCTCAGTCGCGCATCATACTTCCTCCGTCTGAGGTCTGGCATATTAGTTGCTTCGTGGCAAGGATTGCACGTTTTGCCTGCCGCAGCCATTTCGCGTTGAGGTTGTGTTTGCAGTTGAAACGCTGGAAATCGGTGTCTTTCTTGCAAGTTGCTGTGGTGAGGCACCTGCTGAGTTCCGCAGCTATTTCGCATGGATATCATGCTGAGTTGAAACGCAGTGCTTCAATTCTGCTGTTATAAGTCTACTTGGCAGCACTTTAGTGATACAGGTACGTTTGACTTGTGGTTATATGTCAGCTCTCTACTCGGCAACACCTTGATTCAAGGGCTCCAACAAGAAGACAATGACAGAGGAGAAGTTATATAGTTATATTATATATGAAACTATGGTGGGCAGCTTATCGACCGTGAGGTGCTGCATTGCCTTTGAATGTGCATCGCAAATGAGCTCAAAACAGTTTCCCATTCACTCTTCTGGCTTACCTTTAGCTCACTGCATCTGTTTCTGGAATTGCTGCCAACCCTTTTGCTAAAATACGCATGTGGGGTTATCCGGTCCTATACTTTTTTTACTGCTACCAGTCGTAGGGGGAGGAGGAGGAGGAGGAGTAGTAGTAGTAGTAGTAGCAGCGGAGGTAATAGTAGTAGCAGCAGTAGCGCGAGGGTCTTCGTCGTCATCTGGTGGTGCTTGTGGTAGCGGTGGTGACGATGAAGGACGGGGAGTGGCCGGTGCCATACCAACAACCGTAGGAGTGGCAACAGTCTTGAGAAGTAGAGACTTGCAAGAGTACCTAATGGGTGTCAGTTGCTCAAAGAGGCATGAAGAAAACACACACAGATTCGCAGATTCTTTTTCACGACCGACCGGTGTGCTGAGTGAGAAGTGGCGGAGCTTCTTGAGTGCAAGATGAGAAATTCGGTAGTGGCTATGATCGGCGTCAAAATCAAAGTATAGCCATACCTTGAATTATCATGGTCAGCGGCACTCATCATCATCGTCATCATAATCATCTTCTTCTTCATGTCACCATCAGCACCATCACCATCAGCATCACCACTGTCATCATCGTCATCAGCATCATCATTAATTACCGCCATCATGGCAGGCAAAAGACTTGTTGGATTGATTCTGTACAGTTGTGTTGAAGGTGTACTCATGACTGCAGGGTCATGCAGTTGCTCGAACTTGCGGCAATTCCTGGGCACGGGGTCTTGAGAGCGATTGGTGTCTATGGGAAAATCTTGGAGGCAACATGCAACTTGCAAGGCAAGAAAAATGCATGTCGTGCGCGGAGCATTTCGATGTAGGAGGATCGCCGTACGGAAGGTTAGGTTCCACGCATGCATCGAGATGGAAGTTTTTATGGCTTGGGGAGGCTCTCCTCCAGTTGCCCCAAGAACATTTGGCGCTACTTGGCATGTTGAGCGCTTCACTCTCCCCACGGACAACGCAGCAACAATTCCTGCTGAAGTTTTGAGGGGCCAGCGGCTTGAGCCGTGCGTTCGGGACATTTGAGGCCAAACTGCGGAGACCCCCACCCCAGACCAACGGCTACTGGAGTCCTCAGCTCCTAGAGAACAAGCTCACAGTTTATCGCATCTGACCGAACTGCGAACGTGCAGAATTGTCGTAGCTTTCCATGACGCTCTTCGTCCTTGCACAGCCCTGACAGCCTAAGATACCACAGTCCTAGACCCAGGCCCCTGTTTCCAGGGCTGGAAGGCTATATTCGGCTGGGTTACTGTACCGTGCTGCCGCCCATCTCTGCCATCTCGCGGTCACTGCCAAGGTATCACTGGGACAACTACAAGGGCGCCAGGAAGCGCCTCGAGCGCTGGGAGCCCAGGGTCTTGGAACGGAGCTGACGAGTGCATCCTGGGGCTGAGTCTGCCCTCTGAAAGGCTTACAATTCGGTGTTTGCTCAAAGTGGGACAGGTCCGCCCAACAAAGCCTCTGACCGAGGCGGTGATGCGGTTGAAACCGCAAAGTGTGAGTTCTGAGTGGCTTGACTCCGCCTGTCAGCTGCCGAAGGCCAAGATGCTGACAGCAGACTTCGGACTCACCGAGATCCCATAAACCCTACAGTGTGGAGACATGACATGACATGACATGACCCCAGGACCAGTTCTTGGGACGGTTCTTCGGCATTGGCAAAGCACGCCACGCAACGTTTCCTTGCGCCGGTCGAAACTTGAGCTTGCACAAGGCCTGGCGCAGCAGCTTAGCAGTTCCAAGTCTGGCCGCGAGCAGCGTTGCCAGACATCGTCGACGCTCAAAGTTTCAGCGGATTAGACCAAAAAAAAGAGCTGTTGGAGTGCTCCGCCGGAGCCTGTAGCTCAGTGCCACAGCTGCGTAGCATATTCTTCCAGCTATCTCACCCAGCTTGAAGTCCTCAGGTCCCATATAGACTTTCTGGTTGCAGCTAGCCTGAACCGAGCCGGCCACTGCAATGTCCATAGCGCACAGAAGCTATTAGCCTCTAGGACCGGATGCGCGATGGGTATCACGACCCTTAGAATCAAAGCTTTTGGATTGCTGCGACGTCGCTGACTGCTAAAGGACACCCCGGTGAATCTCAACTACCAGCTTCTGCCGGTACTGCACTCGGAGGATGTGCAGGATCAACTGTAGATAGTCGGAGGGCAGCACAAGACTGACAGAGAGTTGCCGTAAGTATGTCTGTCTTTTGTGTGCCAAGATGCAGCTAACTGACATCGATATCAAGACAGCTTTGCGAGGCGGCAGGATATGTGAGGTCGAGTCGACAGTGTCAGATGCTGTGCGTCCCAAGTCGTACAAGTGTTTCTCACTCAATAGGCTGGTCTGCACTGAAGCGGAACATGTAGCGAGCTAGGACCATTCTAGCAAACTATTTCTAGTCTGCAGCGCTTATTAGTCAACCTTGAGTCGAACAGCGGAGAGTCCATCGAATTGACGAGGTCTTGATGAAGTTCGCGTTGCGTCCTTTTCTGGGCCAGTCGCCGGCGGCTCAGAGCAGTGGTGAGCATCTGAGGTGGGTGGCTCTTTGCTCACCTTGCTTTCAATTCTAACTGACCTGTCCAAGGTGGTATCTTGAAATGTGAGAGCGAGAGAAGCGAACTGGAAGACCTTCGCGTCATGCCGTGAGCTGTCAGGTCTCTGTCGACGCAGCCGGATCCGTTCGCTGACCCGACTGCGCTCGCCTTCCCGGCGAACCCCCTCCTGGCAAGGGACTTTGTCCGAAACATGTGCCGACTGGACAAGTGCAGAGCTGCCCTATCACCGTCGTCAATCGTCGTCCTACCTTTGTTTTAGTCCTCAGCCTGCTGTGATTCGGTGCATGTCGCTGAGATTGGTGGTGTCTGCAGCCAGCATCTCAGATTCGTTTTGTGCGGCGGCTCCGTGACTGGAGCCTGCAAAGAAAAGCGTGGTAACTGACGTCAGATTCCGACATCTTCACTTTGCGCTGTCGATGCCGAAGATTCGCGGAGTAGAACCTCCCAGTGAGGCCCCTCACGTAGCTTCCCAGTGTCACGGAATTTAGCGCTTTGCAGTTCTGCTCAAACAGTCCTTTACTTACTACATCTGTACATGTCCACACGCATTTGTATGCACCTCCGTACGTTTATAAGTCATAGGAAGTACATACAAAGGATGCCTTCCTCGGGCTGCTGTCTTTTCACTTTCCGAATGAAGGTTGTAGCTCGCACCTGACCGGCTGAAGCACTCCCTGTCTCGTGGTGATTCTCTCGGGTGGTCATGTCTCCTGTTGCAGGATGGGGTGTTCTGCTTCCAGTCTGTGCTTCGTCAGTGCACGGCTGGGCCTCCACAATTGCCGTTTTTAATATGGTTGATGGAGCCGGTTGGCGGCAGATTTGCGACATCCGCACGGGCTACTCAACGAAACAACCGAGCGGGGCGCCGGCTGTCCTGGACCATCCTGAACCCGTGATGACACGCAGTTCTCTGCTGCGTGCCGAGGTCTGATCATGACGGCGCTGACGCTGCTTCCGATAGGCCTACACTGCAAGGGTAGGAAGTTGTAGGACTCCCGCACTGTGATAATTTTGAAGGGAGCCGGAGAGAGTACGAATCCAGCTGAGCACCAAAGCTGCACATGCCTTGGGACGTCTGACGCTCGTCAGCTGCAAGATTGCACGCATTCTAGTGCAACCCCGAGAGATGCGCAATTTGTCGATTTGACCAAATGTGAAATGTAGCTCGTCAAGGACACCTCGATGGCGGGCTCGAGCCAAAGCATGTCAGAGTGTTGCGATCGGCTGCCGAGTTCTTGATAAGTCTTGGATGGATGTTGGCGTGATATTTTCCAGGGTCTGTAAGACAGCAGGTGTTCTCCCTTGACTGCGCGAGGTTTGGGCACTGACTGCTGACAATGTAACAAGATAGAATTGTTCAGAGGGGCACTTTGCCCACCTGTCCTTGTGAACCTCTTGGCCCAGGGTGCTGGCACGCAGTGCTCTGGGCGGACTCGCCTCACCTGCCGGCCTTCTAGGTGGGATGAAAGTGGGTGTAGTGTCAAAAATAGGACCGAGGGAGCGAACAGCTCCCGTCCACACGAGTCAGCTAAATAGGACGCGCACAATGAGGTTCACAAGATGCTTGCGACTAGTGTGCGCTGGCCGCATATCAAATCTTCGACTATCTCGATTTCCGTCATGTGCTTCCCAGCCTTCCAATCACAGCTTGCTTGGTTGTACATGCTCAG